AAAAAAAAAAAAACACACACATCATTGTAAAATCAATACATTCATCACTTCGTTCAGAATCTCAAATCACATTTTTATTTTTGACCTCTTGATATTTTGAATCACTCGGTAGTTGGAAATTGTTCATAAATTTTACCAACTTTGAATTAACGAGGATCGCCTGTATACATTTTTTATTATTTATTTGTAAAACTGCCATGAGGCAATTTCTTCCCCCTTCCACAAATTTGTACTTGGAAGAGGGTATACGCTTTAAGTCAAAATATCGTCGCATTAGGCATATTGTAATGAATATGCGCATGCTGTATTAAATAATAGAAATTTATGTTGTAGGACATAACAATTTAACTAGGTACCTATTATAATATTCAAACACTCTAATGCTCAAACTATCAAAACTGAATATCAAATCAATCTTGCGATATAATTATTGCCCGCACAACTGTGTAGCAGCGTATTGTAGACGAAATTACACATTCTGCAGCTGTCAATATCTGTAATTTGAACTGTTTTTACTGTATAAGCTTCCCAGTTCCCACMCACATCAGTATACGCACCAACCTGTCGATTTATAATCCGTTGACATCATGACGTACCCTTATATGATATTATTATTGATATTATAAGCCAAACGATAACGGAGCACATGCATATTAAACGTAGTCAGTTCTAAACGTGTTTGGATCATTGCTAACAGTATGTTATATTTTATTAGATTGATATTTTTAAATGCTATGATAAAGCTCTCAAAACATTTAGATAAGATTTAGCTCAATTAYCGACCGTCCAAAAATGGTATTCAACATGGTATACATATAATTAAAACACGCTTTAACAATTTTTTTCTGTGCTAGTGCTTTCAAATGGTTTACCCAAGTGTCCATACATCGGAAGGGCAACATTATGACATATTGCATGGCGTGTACCACTGTAGCTTTTTTCGGTATATATATTTTATTTCATACTATTAAAGACATAAATATTGAGGAATTAACTTATTAAGAGAGTTTAATCAATGATGATAATTCTCCAATCAAATTAGTCTGTATGTAATATTGAGCGTTAAGTCAAATTTCACTTGTGTTAAAAAAGGCGATGTTTTAATAAATGCATAGGTATAAAATTTGCACAAAAAAAAATTGTAGTTTGTGCCACATAATTAAATTAATTAACTGTTTTGTTTTTTTTGTTTTTTAACTTATGCATTTTTATTTTATTCATAAATCAAGTTAATTATTTTAATGTATTTGAATCGAAAGTAAACTACTAAAATATACATAAAGTAAAATAACATTAAAATGTAAGCTATTTTTAATTGTAGCTATATGTATGATTATGTACTTTGTGCAATAATATTTCAGCTAAAAAAAAAAAAAAAAAAAAAAACCAGGAATATCTTAATTCTTTGTCCAACTACTGTACATGCATTATACATTTATCTATCATTACATACATACATTTTTACTGACGTTTTATGTGAGTTTAATAAATATGTTAGATAAATTCTAAAAATTGAATTTGAGAGTGTGACACTGATTGTATGATAATAATATGCAATTTTGTTTTCCGTTGTCACGCGCACTGCGCAGATTACCAAAACTAATATGCATGACTTAATTAATTATAAAATTACAAAATAAGCTGGATGCTTATACGTACATAGTATGCGTTTCATATTGAATATAATGAACACCGTTTATAACCTAAAGTAATAGTATAATAACTTTAAATTTAAAATAAAATAATACGTTACTATAACTTTTTACGTTAATATAAATACAACCCAGATCATTAAAAATAATAATACAGTAGTCACCGCATATTGGACTCATTTTAGGACCACCAAGGTTTATGAGTATATAACTGAATAAGTCAATAAGCCGTAATTTATGTATTTATTTATTAATTAGATAAACGCTAAAAATGGCTTTGTTATAAATATATATTATAATAACATAACAGAATACAATACTTATATAATATTAACTCATAAAAAGATTTGTTAAATTACAGTTAAGAAGTTATAATATATAAAAATTTGGGCGCTTTGCCCAAAAACCCCACACCCACTCATTCACACACATCTAAATCAAATTCAACCGTTTCCATACCTAAAACCATAATAAATAAACTATCACAGAAAACCAGGTCGATTCAACGACCAACCAAAAACATAGTAGTGCAAGGTGCTGACCGGTCCGACTGTAATATCGGTATTCCCTCCACTACAACGAGCAATCATACCTCGTACATCGTAATCAGAACCCCCTCTACTCTCCGTCACAGTAACACTGTCCAGCGATAACAACCGCACCACAGAAACTATCGCTCACCATACAAACGACAATAATAATATATCCACTAATTACCAACTTATAATCTCTTCATCGAATAAGACAAACAATAACAATATAAACTTCGCATCTGCTGTTGCCAGGGTAAAAAACCCAATCGTGAACAAGCCTATTATTTAACACTGTTGATGGAACACCACAAAAAGATTATGTTCTTGCAATAGGAAAAATTTTCTATCCTAAAAATATAACTTTCATCTCAAGAATCTCAAATAACCGTTTTTGCATCTTTCTGTCCAGCAAATAAATAATCGACGATTTATTATAAAAAAAACCCAATTAATCAATATCAATGATCAAATTATACCAATTCATCGATTTCTARGCTCGGCTAAAAGATATATTATATCAAATGTATGCCCATCTATACCCAACCAAGCAATTTCAAACGCCCTAAATAACTTAGTCATTTTTCCCATATCACAAATCAGCCACCACAAAGCAGGTATTAATATTATAATCAATATCAATATCAATATCAATCATATAATAATGAGTTTCCAATTTCCAAAAACAATTATTTATTAAATACGAAGATATTTTTAACTTCCGAACTCGTTAGTAATTACGATAAACGAATCTCAGTTCAGAAATGTTTTCACTAATAACATAGTAACTTGTTTTCTATGTAAAGCCAGCGGACGCACTACAAACAATCGCAAAAATGTAGATGTTACACAAGAACAAAATCCAGCTCAAACAAACCAATCAAACCCGATGACTTCACTATAGATCGCACCGAATCAATCAAAAATATCCGCTCTCCAAATACTCCAACGCTCGATATACTTGATCAAACCAAATCGGATTTGACCAAAGATCTCGAAGTAACTACATTTTTCCCTTTAACCCAATATCATTTCAATGAAGCACTGTCCCGCGCACCAATTGAAACTCAAAAAAKACTGATGTCCGATTCTTCATCAACTAAACCTCCGGACTCCTCTAATGTTTTATTGCCATCTAGTTCAGCAAAAAAAATAAATAAATAAAAAAAACCATCAAGAAACCCAAAATACAATCTCGCTCAAATTCGTCCAGCAGTCTCGATACAAATTTAGACGAAAAACTAAATCAAATAATCAAACGCTTCACCACCAATGAGTTCTTATCAATCACCTACATATGTTAGGTTCGGACATTCATTTCTAACTCATCCTTTCCTCATTAGCAAAGATCCACCACCCACTTATGACGAATGCCTCACTAAACTTTCGGTTCAACACGTTATCATTGATTGCATCAAGTATCGGGACATAAGAAACAACTTAGCAATACCACCTAATACTCGTATGAATGAAACACTCAACGAAAACAAAATCTCCAAAATTATCATATTTCTAAACAAAATCAATCTTTTAAGCGAATTTTAATAATGTATAAGCATCTTTCCATAGTCTTTAATTTCAAATACTCTTTGTAAATTTACCTTTGTTTTTCTAATATTTCTAATATGATTATAATTTATACTGGGCTAATTAACTGTGATGTTGAAGTTTAACATCTAATAAAAAACAATTTATATAACCATTAACTGTTTACTCATAAATATAGGTGGATATTTAAAAATTAAAGAAATAATTCCAGATTCATTTCCTATCCTTGAAATTCTTTCTAAGGGATTATTAAATCCATAATTAGTACGGTGGGTTTTAATATAGAATGTAGAGCAATTTCGAGATTAATATTTAGGACAACTTAGAATACGAGAATGGAACATGTAATTTTACAATTTATTAATTTAGAAAGGTAGGAAATATCAGCTGTTTTACAACGAATATAGATAAAAGATTGCAATTAAGGATATTTTTAATATAATTTATATTATTGTCATTTTTGTCATTTTATATGTTTTATAAAACAAATAAATATCAAAAATCTTCTTTGTATCCTTTTCAATTTTGCAATACAGCGTGTCGAGAATGGGTACCATACAATAGAACCATACTCCAATATTTATCGGACCAGGGAATAAAAATATGTGTTATGGCAGTAAATATCAGTAAAAGATGAACTAGATCTAATTTAAAATCTAAGGGTTTTAAAGCTTTAAAACAAATTTGGTCAATGCGAGTGGAAAATAATAAATCAGACTTGAATGTAATACCAAGATCATAAATAGTAGTAACATCAGGTAATATAACATCAATAATTGAATAATTAATTTTTTTTTTTCGTAAAACAAAACGTAATCTTTGAACATTTAGAGATATTGACCTTTAATTTATTTACAATACATCAATCAAGAAGTCTATTAAGGTTTTCTTGTAGAGTCAATCAATCATTTACACAGGCTATATTATGATAAAGTTTCAAGTCATCAGCAAAGATTATAAATTGACAATATTTGAAACATGTATCGATATCCAATAAGAACATTAAAAATAACCAAGGGAATAAATGTCCACCTTGAGGGATACCAGAAATTAAATTGCATATAGATGGTATATAACCATTTACTTTAATTTGCTGATGACCATTAACTAGATATAATTCAAACCATCTTAATAAGTTGTCAAAAAATCAATTTGTTTTAACTTTTGTGTAAGAATATTATGGTTTACAGTATCAATCAAATGCTTTCTGAAAGTTTGTGTAAATGTTGTCAACCTAACTTGAAGACCTTTCTTAAGTGGCTCAAGTAACTCAGTTTAGAAGCATAGTAAATTAGTTTCAGTAAACCATCCAAATCTAAAACCATGTTGATTTGAACTGAATAAATTTTTAAATGGTTGAGATAAGGAGGATTCCAAAAGTTTTTCGAAGAGTGTAGGTAAGGAAGAAAGTTTGGAGATCGGTATGAAATTAAATATATTATTTTTAATGTCAGACTTGTGTACATGCACGATGTAACTCAATTTCTAAGATACAGGATATTATAATCCACTTGATAGAGACCAGTTAAAGAGGATGCGTTTGACAGAGCACATTTCAATGATTTGAGGAAAATTTCTGGAATTTTATCTGGATCAAGGTTACAATTAGTACCTAAACTGTCCAAATAAGTAATACACGATTCAGAAATAAATAATTTTATTGAGTTAAAAACTATATCATAAAATGTATCAACTGTTAAAGAAACATTAGGATGACGTATAACTGAGGGCCAGTCTATGGAAAATAAATATTTATTCATATCATTATATTTGCCTTGAGAAAAATTAAACACATCATTTAATTTGTTTATGTAGTCAGTAGAGATAACCTTGAAATCTATAATTTCAAGTGCGGGGATGTGCAGCATAAATTTTAACAAATGGGAATGAGGTTTTAGAGACACTTCAATTAGCATTATTATATAATACTAAGTCAAGAATGTTAGAACAGTAGTTTTTTGTAAAATTGTGTTGAAATAAATTCAGAATATGATTAACTATTTGATAAACTCAGATATATTGTTCATCAAACCAGTAAATATAGCATGAGCATCAGAGTTTTCCTAGTGTATACCATATAAATTAAAATCCTCTGCTAATATGAAGATAGAATCAGCATCATCAGTGAATAGTTTTTCAATATAAATGCAATGATTGTCATCAATTTCTATAGAGCTTGTTGGTGTCGTTTGTAGTAACCTTTACAGATAACTGTTCACAACTATTATCATATGAAGGGAGTAGGTGTGAGAGAAAGCGCTTATAGACAGCTATTAAAACACGACCGCATTTATTATGGCTACTATTATTAATGTTACGATAAGCCTTATAAATATTGTAATCAATCATAATATTAAGTTCAGAGTCTTAAATATCATGAGTTAACCAAGTTTTAACAAGAATAAAATAAGCAAAGTGGGATAAACTAGGTATATTTAATTGGACATTTAATTTAGTTCATAACCCACGAACATTTTGATAAAAACCAGACAACATTTTATGATTAGTTTTACACAAGTTTATTACCTAAAATAGAACGATGACGATTTTAAATAATATTGATAGTAGATTTTCTTTGGCGATGAATTAGTTTTTTTTGTGTATTCTGTTTCTTGACAATACGTAGGTACTTGAAGAGCACCGTTGACATGTGAAATCTCGAGATTAGACGGGGAGTCTAATGGGGAATCTAATGGTTTTTCCAGCCTATCATGACAGGATCGTAGCAAGTCGCGTTGACAGAGGCGGTTTGAGTATACTATTTTTGGTGCACTGCACCACCAATGTTAGGGGGATGGGTGGTCTTGGTTGAGCATTTGCTGACCGCAATGTTTAATTTTAATGTTTAATAAATGAAAAAAGTAATAAAGTACCTAATCAATGACATATTATGATAAATGATAATCGTGGTTGAAACTGTTGAAAGCGTCGAGTTAAGAATATAAGGGCCTTATAATTATAAACTATAAACTTATTAAAAAATATTTATTTGTAATTTCTATTATGATGGTGGTGGGGGGGGGGTGTCTATATATTGTCTTGCACCACTAAGTATAATATATTCAAACCGCCTCTGCGCGTTGAAGTAACGTTTTGTCTTTGAATGAACAAAAAACTTTGCTTTTTAGAATTTAAATTTCACTACGTAATTTTGTATTTTCAGACTTTAATTGAATTATTTGCGTGCATATTTGCTTAAGAACATTTTTAAATTCATGAAATTGAAAGGTTAAGGTGTTCGAAAGGATTTTGTTTTCAGATGAAAACGGGTGAGAAAAGATAAATTAATACCGAATAACACTTTATAGTGGTTCCTCTGATCAGTATTTCTAAACGTCACTGTTAACTGAATAATAATCACTGGATCATTGATCACTGATGAAGTTATGTGAATAATAAATGTATAACAGAAAACAATTAAACAATTTTGTCGGTGACTAGTTGGTGTATATAAATATTGTTGTAATAATATGTTTAATATTATTTGCAATTATGTATATTATCCGTACCATGAAATATTGATATCATGACATTTTATCTATGTATTTCGTGGAATAATTATGTTAGTTATATCAGCTGGCTCACATAATTTAGCCCGGTTGATCGGTCGGTTGTTACTTATTTGTCATCAATTAACTTAGGTACGCGCAGTCATTGACAATAATCTTAAAATATTATTAACTTTTTCAATTAAAAAAAAATAGCTTACTCACTAAAAAATCAGACAAAACTGAAGGCATTTGGTTTGATGGATTTCGATTTTTAATACTGATTTATATTAATCAACAAGTTTACTAGGTTATTGTATAGGTGATTTTGAATATCTACTTTTTCAGCTGAGATATCGAAAAATAAAAATATGATAATTTTTTTTTAACATTATTTATATGATACATTAATACCTATTAGGAACTTTTTGGTCTAAAAGCTGCAGACCCCTTAACTACAAATTAAAACTATAAACTATTGCTGTTTTGTTTCTAAATCCAGATTTCTACCCTATTTAATACAGTTATTGAGTAACATAATATGTAAATGTTTTAATATTGGTTAACTCATTTCAATTAAATATTTAAATAATTACACGAACGTATAAAATACAATAAATCGGGTAAATAAGTGTTATTTATTCAAAATATTCATAATAATTTTAGGTTAAGTACTATTAAATATTCATAATTATTTTGGAAAACCATTGATTTATCAAATGTACATTATGAGCAATGATGATAACATTTTTAACACAATAAATGTACGAAACTACCAATATAGGTATATAAATTACATTGCTCGATGTATTTTTATCCGAGTACCTCATCTATACCTCAATTTTCGAGCAAGTATTATTGTGCATTGCTTTTGAAAAGATTCAAATGAGGCGTGTAATCCATCTGCGCTTTGTATATTTCATTATTTTATTAAGGAGTATTTTCCATCGTGATAAGCAAATTAAACGACGATCTAACAGTATTTTTTCTTCCGTGTAACCAATGGGGACGAGAAATAAACAAAAAATATAATGATTTTTTTTATTTTGAGTACACGATTCATTTGTGAGCTAAAACGTAATGGTTAGGATTAAATTTTAGGATTAAAAGTAACCCATGTACTTCTTGCTAGGTCCTTTACCTACACTCAGTCAACATCGGTTTAGAATGTTTAGATGAAATTCTTAGGATTGTGGGACAAACGTATTGCATTTTAATTTAATTTATATGCATGATTATATTTTGAAATTGGTCTTACATTCTTGCACAATGCAAAACCCTATTCCTTCTTGAGAAATTTTTTATATTTTTCTCGTTTCAATTTGACATACTCTTTATTTAAAAGGTATTCGAACACTAAGAATAACGTAGTTGACCAATGAAAAACCCGTCATTCTTTGTTTGGTTTTTTCATTATTTTGGTTGT